CAATTATATCTAGACTGCATGATTACGAACTGCAGAAAACTTGTGCAAATTCATCCAGCTGTGATTTGCGCCCAATTTTCTTCTTCGTGCTTCCAATTAATCTTCGAAATCGTGCTGGAATTTAACGGAGTTGCTTGCTTCGAAGACGTTCGTCTATCCTTCGCTTGAGAAAAATGTTTCATCGCAGTCTCGAGACGAGAGAAAGCGGAATTGAGAATTTGAAATTTCTAGATTAGTATCTCGATCGCAAATGCTTCGTTTTATTCCCGCGGCCTGGCGTTTTACCTTCAAACGTGTCCTCGACTTCTGCCAGCAGAAGATTGCGACAGCTGGAATGGAATTCCGCCTTCATCTATTAGATAATATTTTCCCGCGACCGAAATAGCACCTCGGCGATCGTTTTTCCTCGACGACAATCAGGTTTGTACACACCGCCTTAACAAATCGAAACGGTACACTCGTGTATACCTATTTACGTGTACAACTATGCAAGATTAGATTAAACTGCACCCTTAAAATCTTGACAGATTTTATTTCGTGCACTGCTTTTAATGTAATCTTTTGTCTAATAATAGTTTCGTCAGATTGTGTAACTAAATTCGTTCGAATTTTAGTTAAATTCAGTTAAATTTCTCAGAAAATATTATACGAAACTTTATTTGCGACGATCTGCAAATTCGCAGATTTTTGTGCAACTTTGTACTTTGAGATTGTTAGAAGTTTCATTATCCTACAGTGCTATTATTATTATTTTTATATAAAAAAAGACAGAAGCCTTGGGCTGATATTCACCGAGATAAAATTTCGACAGTGAATGTCTTTACATTTCCCACGTCATCTGACTGAAATATATATAAATATATCGAGGTTCTCTGTAAGAAATGCAAACGAGCTTACTGCACATTCTAGAAATGTTAGACTCGTAAAATCACGAAAGTATTAAAGTCGTAAAATGTACAAATGATATGAACCGTGTATTTCTTCGAACGGATAATTTATTAGGTTCGCGTCGAAATTGATCAGCCGAAAAGTATCGTGATATCGGAGTGTTATCGTTGTGGTTCACAACCACAACATCGCGGAACTTTCATTCGTTTGCATAGTTGACCGCATGATTCACACAAGAGGCCAGTCTAGTCCGTATATCCTGGATCGTTTGTATCCTGTTATGTCCATTGTTCAACCTCCTGTCTGTCGTGGTCTGACCACTTCTACTGATGTCGCTAAGATATCGTTTTAATCCATTTTCTATGAACAAATTACATATGTTGAACATTC